GATCAGCCACACCTGAAACACACATGTGTGGCTCAGCAAATGACTGCAGCAATGTGCTGTGGGACTCCTAAGATCACATGACCTTCTCGGCTCAAGAACTTCATTTAATCTTGGCACCGGTGTGGGGTCAGTTAACACTGACCCCTTCCTCATGAGGACCTATGTCTTATTCCCATCTTGTTGTCTTTCCTCCCTTCAGAAGATAGTGGCTATGTGCCACCTCAGAGCCTCTACCGTCATTTTCCCTGAATGGGCTTTAGCTTCCTCCTGTTTGCATGAGTATACATTCTTATTTTTTTAATTTAATTTTTTAAAAGATTTTATTTATTTACTTGACAGAGAGAGAGAGACAGCGAGAGAGGGAATACATGCAGGGGGAGTGGGAGAGGGGGAAGCAGGCTTCCCACTGAGAAAGGAGCGTGATGCAGGGTTCTATCCCAGGACCCCGGGATCATGACCTGAGCTGAAGGCAGACACTTACCAACTGAGCCATCCAGGCATCCCTGACTATGCATTCTTTACACATGCCCAGGGCACCTGGGTGGCTCATTCGATTAAACATCTGGTAGCATCTACCTTCAGCTCAGGTCATGATCCTGGGGGGCTCTCTGCTCGTTGGGGCGCCTGCTTCTCCCTCTGCCCCTCCCCACTGCTTGTGCTTGCTTTCTCTCTCTCTGCCAAATAAATACATAAAATGTTTAAAAAAAAAAACAACCCTCCCCCCAAAATGCCCAAACAACAGCTTTGATAATCATTGTGAGTGCTGTGAAGTGTGTAAAACTGGCGATTCACAGACTTGTACCCCTGGGGCTAATAATACATTATATGTTAATAAAAAAATTTAAAAATTAAAAAAAAATTATTTGACCTTTTCCCTAAAAAAAAAAATTATCAATTTTTTTATCACCCCTGCCTCATCTGCTCTTTCTATAATCAGAATATGCTTTTATTTTTATTTCATTTATTTTTTTCAGACTATGCTTTTAAAGAAATGTTCTTTGTGCTTTATTCATTATGGTTCTTTGCTCATGGTGGGGGTTCAATAAATATTGACTGATGATGAATCTGTTATACTAGAGAAGGCCCTTTCACAGCGAATTTGATCTTTTTTACTCTTATTTTTTTTTAGGTGTTCTATCATATCACTAATGCAAATACTAAAGTTGCTTATTAATTAGAAGCATAAAAAAAAAGGACGTTAAAGTTTTTTTTTTTTTTTTACTCTGTATCAAAAATCCAAACAAAATCATTTGGCTAAACTCAAGTGATAAAAATATTTTTTTTAAATAATTTATTTATTTATTCGACAGAGATCACAAGTAGGCAGAGATGCCGGCAGAGAGAGAAAGAGAGAGGGAAGCAGGCTACCTGCTGAGCAGAGAGCCTGATGCAGGGCTCGATCTCAGGACCCTGAGATCATGACCTGAGCCGAAGGCAGAGGCTTAACCCGTTGAGCCATTCAGGTGCCTCACAAATGATAAAATATTTTTAAGTATTTAATGAACATTAATCTGTGACCACTGTAAAACAAAATCTTATCTGTTGAGATGATTTACTTGCATAGGAAAAAACTGAGATGAAGATTTACAAATGAGAAGGAAGTCTAATTTGTGTGAGTTCGAAGCTTGATTCTAGAACGAGATTTCCAAGCATGAGATTATTAAGAATGTAGATAACTTTTATTCTCTATCCTTCCTTTTCTACTCTTTGAATCAAAATTTGCCTTTCCACCCTGTGTTGGATTGAAGGCATCAATGATCTCAGTTAATTTAATGGCCTCTGTCCATACCCCTTCTCCAATAACTTTGTAGTTCCTGCCCACTCTAATTTGGGCTGGTCTTGTGACTTGCTTTGACTAGAAATGATGGTGTGATGATTCGGAGCCTAGACTGCAAGAAGCCTTGTGTGTTTCTCTTTCCTCTCTGGCTTCCCTGTGGTCACATGTCGGACTTTGCGGCACATTCCATGTGAGGCCACATGGAGGAGAGCTGAGTCATTCTAGCCATCATGGAGCTCCAGCTCCCAGTGGACCTGCCATCTACCCAGACTGAGCCCACCCAAAATCTGGCTATACCATATCAGTAGAACTACCTACCAACCTGTAGCCTCCTGAGAAACAATAGCTATTTTTTAAGAAGATTTATTTATTTACTTTAGACAGAGAAAGAGCGAGACAGAGAGAGAGAGAGTGCAGGGGAGAGGGAGAGAGAATCTCAAACAGACTCTACGCTAAGTGTGGAGACTAAGAAGTGGGACTCGATCCCAGGACCCTGAGATCATGACTTGAGCCATAACCATGAGTCAGGCACTTAACCAACTGTATCATCCAGGCATCCCAAAACAATAGTTTTTTAAACCCATGTGCTTTGAGATGGTCATACAGTCATAGCTAACTGCTTCACATCCTATATTCATAATACTTATAGGATAAGATGGTGGTAGCTCCTCCCAGGGCTATTATATTTTAATTGTTGTCAGTTGTTTGAGCTAAATGAATGCATTTTGAGGGTATCTTTAGTTTTAGTAAATGATGATTGGGGGACTTAGGGAGTGCAGTGGAATCTTCCTGGGATAATAGTCCCATATACTTCGGAAGCCGATTATCATTAGAAACAAGAAAAAAATAGTTTTAAAATCAGGTAGATGACTTCTATTAAAGATCTCAAATTTGTTGTTGGTAGATCGACAAACTGTTGCCATTACATCCCCAAACCATCCTACCCACCCTCTTGGGCAGAGTTCCCACTCCACTTGGCCCCCAGGGGCAGCGGACAGCTGTACCCACCATTGGCTCCTCTTGGATCTTTTTATAGAAGTCCTTCTTCTGATCGCTCAGTCAGCTCTGCTGGAGGGCTTTGCATTTAAGGGACAACACCGACAAAACTGGCCTCCAGCCATGTCTTAGGCCTCATGCATTATGCCCTCTGGCCCACTAAGGGTTTAGTATTTGTGTACTCTAGTTTCCTTTCCTGCAAAATGGTGATGGGGAAGATCTTGGCTTTTGAGAAAGTCAATCCAAGGTTCTTTTGATCACTGGTAGAGATAGTTTCTGCTGATTTAGAAACTTTGTGTTATGGGCCAAAGCTTTAGCAAATATTAACTCTCATTTTACTGCCATTATTATTATTATTATTATTATTATAAACATATAATATATTTTTATCCCCAGGGGTACAGGTCTGTGAATCACCAGGTTTACACACTTCACAGCACTCACCATAGCTTTACTGCCCTTATTATTAGCAGCCAGATAAATGGAAGTTCAGAGATTTGACACAACGTGGATGGATCCAAAGTCACATGCATGAATGGAAGCAAAACCATAAATATAGTAATAGTTTGTTCTTTAGAAAAATGTGGAAGATCAGTCTCCCTATTCATATTAGAATAATATATAATTATGTATATAATAATATATATATAACATATAATATATATAACATATAAGAATCACAATAGTGATTCTTAGGCCAGTCCTTGTAAAGCACATGTGAGCCCTTCAGACCCAGGAAGGAACTTGAGGCCCACCAGGGGCATCTTATCAACCTCAAAGTCTATTGTTGACCTCTCGTTAACTCACTAACTCAGTGTAAAGGAAAATAGCAGGAATAGGCTCTCCAATGGGAAGGTTGGGGCAAGCAGTTTCATAGTAACAGTCTGTTTTTCAACAACAAGCCCAGGCCAGGTGACTTTATCCCGTTTGTGCTCAGTTTTCTCATCTATAAAATGTGTGCGTGGAGTCGGTCAGTGCTCTCCCAAACTGTGGTCTGTGGACAGTTTTTCTAGCCTGGGTGAAAGTCGGGAAATGCTGCATACGAGGTCTGTCCCTTAGAGGCTTTTGTGAGGGTCTGCATTCAAGAAATCTTTTCAGCTTTATTAACTCGGGCTTCATAGAGATCCTGGAAACCCCTAAAGACCCTATAGGAAGAATCTCATTTTGGAAATGTGGAGGCAGACGATTCTCAGGACTTCTTCAGCTTTAAAGACATCTGAACTAATGGGAAGATTTTGGTTCTATCGCAATTTACTAGTGAGTCCACTTTTTACTCAGGAAGGAAATAAGAAAAAAAAATCATTATTTTCTTGATTGTCTGCTCTGTGTCAGACACTTAAATATTTTATATATTCTTTCGTTCTTTTTTCTTTTTGAGAGAGAGAGATAGAGAGAAATCTTGTGTACAGGCTGGAGGGAAGAGGGGCACAGGGAGAGAAGAGAGAATCTTAAGCAGGTTCCACACCCAGTGCAGAGCCTGATGTGGGGCTCGATCTCACGACTCCCAAATCATGACCTGAGCTAAAATCAAGAATCAGTTGCTTAACCAACTGAGCCATCCAGCTGCCCCCCATATTTATTTTTTGCAATACCATATGGAATATTATTATTCTCACCAATATGGATCTTGATGACATCACATTTCCCCATAACCACTACCGTGTTATCTGTTATCAATGTAGTTAGTTATCAATGTAGTTAGTAGGCTCAGTCTCTGATATTCTTTTCCATCTATACACATATTATCCAGCTGTTAAATAATAGTTATATGATAGGATAGGATATTATCCAGGCTTTAAATAAAAGTCTATGCTGATGACTATTAAATCTCATAAATCCCCACTGACTGTTCCCATGTTAACATTTCAAGCTTTGTATGACCAAATGAGGATTTTAAATTCAGAGCTTTCCTCTAGACTTTTCTTGCCCATTTTACCCTTCGTAATCCGTCTCCCTATCTACCTGATTGATCAAACAGGAACTGAAGTGTTGTTGATTTCTCTCATGCCCTCATTCCTCACATGCAGTCCATCAGCAAGTCTGTCCTGCCAGAACACTCCAGAATGTGACCACTTCTCTCCATGGCCATGCCTATTTCTAGTCAAGCTATCATCATCTCTCAAGCAACAATTACTGCCATGTTCCAGTTGTTCTCTTAGCTTCCATTTGTGTCCCCTTTGCAGTCAGGAGCCAAGATGATCTAAAAAATAAATCTATAGGCGCTGTCATGGCACCTTTGCTGAGGACAACTGCCAGCCTGGTGGGGTTGGTTATATGTGAAAGTCCACATGAAGGGCTAACAATGTTGTACACAAGGATTCTTGATGTTCTTGAGCAGATTTCTGAAAATGCAGCCTACAGCACGTATGCAGAACAGATTACAAATGAGAAGCTGGGTCTGGTTAAAGTGGAACCAGATGTTAAGAAATTAGAAGACCAACTTCAGAGTGGCCAGCTAGCAGAGGGGATGCTTGAGGCTGCAAATGAAGTAAGTCTGGCAGGAAAAATGATACACTGGAAACCATGGGAGCCTTTAGCAGAAGAGCTTCCTGCCATCAGTGGAAATGACCAATGTAGTCATCATTAAATGACTAGCGTGTTGATGGGAAACCGATGTAATTAGATGTTCTGTTACAATAAATAAATAAATAAATAAGACCATGTTGCTTTCCTCCTTAAAACCTTTTGGTGATTTTCCATTTCATATATATATATATAGATAAATAGGTAGATAGATAGATAGATAGATAGCAGTCTCTGACCTCGATAGGGTCTTTCTTTGTTCATGTCTCCAACTTCATGGGGCTGATGCTTCCCTACGTTGGCCTCCTTCCTGATCCACCATGTACCAGGCTTGTTTAGTCCCAGATTGCTGCCTTTGCTCTACCCTCTGCCTAGATGGTTCATTTGTTCTTGGTTCACATGCTGCCTCCTCAGTGCCTTCCCTGACCACCTTGTCAACACTAATCCCACCTTGTGCAGAGACTATCACATCATTCTGCTTTACTTTTTGGAAGAGTTGTCGCTCTTGTTATTTTAATCGTTCATTTGCTATTCCCCCCATGTTTCTCTCAACTAGATGTATAAGTCCAGGAGACCTTCCATCTTCCTGTTGTATTCAACCTCGTATCTCCCCGTTAGTGTGTATCACAGTGCCTGGTACATACAGTTGCTCAGTAGATATTTATAGGATTGATAAGATAAATGTTATTTGCTTTGTTCATCTTTCCAGCTCTTTCTTTCTTTCTTTCTTCCTTTCTTCCTTCCTTTCTTTCTTTCTTTTTAAAAGATTTTATTTATTTATTTGACAGAGAGAAAGAGAGATCACAAGTAGGCAGAGAACAGGCAGAGAGAGAGGGGAAAGCAGGCTCAGCCTGATGCAGGGCTCGATCCCAGGACCCTGAGATCAGGACTCGAGCAGAAGGCAGAGGCTTAACCCACTGAGCCACCAGGCGCCCCTTTCCAGCCATTTCTGTTGAGTGCACATTTAAAAATAATTAAATGCATGCGGGGCTGCATACATGACCTCAAGCAGATTTCAAACAAATGGACTGTACAGAGAAATTTTTTTCTTTTTTTTTTTTGTACAGAGAAATTTTTAAATGACATTATTATCTGCATGGGATTTGTTAATGTACAAATCTCTGAGGAAGAAGAGAGGACAAAACTGTTAACAAGTTGTCAAATACTTTTGCACTGAAGCAGTGGGAGTTTGGAAAGAATAAACGTGATTCTGGTGTAGTTTTGAAGTCATGTTTTTTGGGAAAGGGCAGGGATTGAAAATTACAAATGGCTAAGTACGGCTTTTGGGAACTTGTCATATAATTATTTTTTGTCAAATCACTCCTCGCTGTTGAGGCCAGTACTCACAGTGGATTTTCTTCTTCCAAACATTGCACTTGAAAGGGACAATGCTAAAGGAAAGTAGGGGCAGTGCTGAAAGAGCCCCCCTCCAGGGTCCCTGCGGAGCAAGATAGTTTGTTATAACCTAAATAAGTTCAAGGAGAAAGTGCCAAACTGATACTGAGTGGAGAAAAGGTGTGATATACCCCTTTTCTAGAAGCTGGGGAGATGTGGAGAATAGAGAGAAAAAGGGAATACACTTAGGGTTCTCTCAAAGGCAACAACGCAGGAGTAGAGATTTTCATCTTTGAAATTCTGGCGCCACCCAGTGGTGAATAAATCTTGCTTTAGCGTCATTTTCATAACTGGTTGTCCTCAAACTTTCTCCTCTTTCTCAGAACCACACAGTGAGCTTGTACAAATACTCCACTCCTACAGATTCCAGAATTCTGCAGGTTCAGTGGAGGGCTTGGGCATCAGAGTTTCAAGAACGAGTTTCCCAGGTGATTCTGTGCAATTTTGGGTTTTCTTTTCTTTTTAAAAGATTTTATTTATTTGACACACAGAGAGCGATCACAAGTAGGCAGAGAGGCAGGCGAGAGAGAGGAGGAAGCAGGCTCCCTGACGAGCAGAGAAGCCGATGAGGGGCTTGATTCCAGGACCCTGGGATCATAACCTGAGCCGAAGGCAGAGGCTTTAACCCACTGAGCCACTGAGGGGCCCCTGTTTTGTTTTGTTTTGTTTTTTAAATAATCATATGTCAAGTGGCTCTCCATGGAGGTGTTTCTGGCCATCCTGCAGTAACTTTGTCCTAGAAAGAACAACCTGGTCACAGATCAGTTTAATTGAGGTCACGGTGTCTGAAAGGAGAAGCTCCAGGAATTCATGGAGATCCAAGGTTTGCATGAGCACCTTAGAGGCCCAGGTGTTTCCCAGGAGACCTTTCATCTAAGGCTTCCTGAAGCATCCCAAGGAAATGGATCTTCACATATGACCACAGATACAGAACATGCAGCCGGCTCAGTGATTCACATGTGCTCTTAGATTTCAGCTGTGGTTGTCCTGGACCGTTCCATGCAGGATTCCACTCGTTATAAGGCTCTAAGTTTCCCCTTCAAGTGCTTTACCTAATGCCTCAGGATTTCCTTGGGGGCCCTAGATGCTGTGAGGAACTTTCTAAGTTATGGAGTATGCTCAGCTTGGAAGCACAGGGTAGGTTAACACATCTGGGAGCAACTCTAGATCAGTGGGGAAGGGGCCAGTGGGTCTAGACTCCTGCCTCTTCTGCTTTGGGACAGGGCCTCAAGAAGGGTTATGAGGTAGGCTCAAGGTAGGGTCAGGACTTTATCCTGTAGGCAGAAGTATGTTGGAAAGGATGAGTGGTGGCAGGGAGAATTTTAATTAGGATCTTAGATATTTTGGTGGTAACATGGAAGTGGGATTTGTTTGGGAAGTAAATGGGGGGAGAGGCAGATACTAGGAGCGAAATACAGTTGCTCCAATTTGAAATAAATTGGCTCTAAGTTAGATGGAAAACCGAAGTAGACATTTGAAATAGGAGACCTGATAGTGAAGCCCCAACTCTGTTAGCCTGTTTTCCTCACTGAATGGCTATGTTACCTCATGCAGTGGGCTCGGGGTGCCTTTCTCGACTTGTTGCTCTGTCACAAACCTCCCTCAATTTAGGGACTCACATGAGCAATTTGTTGTTGTTCTTCGTGAAGTTGGGCTGGGCTCAGCTGGGCATTTCTTCTGCTCTTCCCTGGGGCATTTACACATAGTTGTTGTCTTCTGCAGGCTTCTTGGTCGGTGTCTCAGTCAGGGCTCTCTAGAGAAAGAGAACCAATAGGATATACTCAGTTACATGTGAGGAGATTTGGAGGAATTGGCTCAGGCAGTTATGGAGGCTGAAAGGTCCCACAGTCTGCCACCTGCAAGCCGGAGAGCCAGGGAAACTGTTGGGATAACTCAGTCCATGCCCGAAGGCTGAGGACCAGGAGCTCCAGTGTCTGAGGGCAGGAGAAGATGGGTATCCCAGCTCAAAAAGGAAGAGATTTGCTCTCTCTTCCCCTTTTTTCCCTACAGTTTGGATGCTGCCTGCCTGCACTTGCCTGCACTGGTGAGCTCCGATCTCTTGACTCAATCTACTGAATCACTTACACACCACGACATGTTTTACTAGCTATCCCGACATCTGTGAGGCCGGTCAGGTTGACACAAAAAATTACCCATCACCATCAACGACTGCAGCCCGGAGAGCTTGTCTTTGCTTTACATGCTGCCCTCCTCCCAGGGGCTTTCTCCTGTGGAGGCAGCAGATCCGGGGGTGGCCTCAATGTGACAAGACTGTTGAAGCCTGAGCTGAGAGTCACATTCGTCACATCTGCCTCATTGTGTTGGTCAGAGGAATCACAAGGTGCTCACTTACGGGGAAGTAGACTCACTCTCCTGGTGGAAAGACATAAAATAATTTAAGACCACTTTTAATTTACCACACAGTATATTTGAGTAGCCAATGAAATGAACTTTGGATGCCCTCTTATATCTGGATTTTGGTTTTAAAACCAGAAATAAAAACAAACAAACAATCCAGAAATCAGATTATTCATATCGTGACCAATCACACCTACTGTCTCTCTTTTGTGGTAAATACCCAACTTCCCTATTCCCGTTCCTGATAAATAGTTTAAATCTGTGCCAAGTTGAATTAACCTTCTCTAAGTGGAAGGGTTTAGGGAAAAGCTTAGATTAAAAAATTTTTTTCCCCCACATTCACTGGAATCAATTAATCTGTTTTAAAAACTATAGTAGATGTACCTCAAATGAGTTGTATTTTAAACTAGTACAAGTTTTTTTGTGTGTGTGAATTTGGGTTTTTTGTAAGGGAGAAGAAAAGGGTATTTTTATATTCAAAATATGACACTGATATTTGTGAGATTATTTTGATAATTACCCTAAGAAGCATTTTCATAATGGAATAAAAATAATTTATGTTTTAAATGCATGTAATTTTATGAAGCACTAGTATAAATTTCTGTATCTTAAATGTTAGAATTAGCTGGTAGCGATAGTTTATTAATTTTATAAACTTTTATGGCATGGTAGCTCACCATAATGGAAATCCAAAAACTTACAAAGAAAGCTTTTAATAACCTGTGTTTAAAAGAAGCAGAGACAGAGGGCACCTGGCTGACTTTGTCAGTAGCATGTGTGAATCTTGATCTCAGGGTTGTAGGTTCAAGCCCCACATTGGGTGTAGAGATTACTTAAAAATAAAAATATCTTGAGGGGCGCCTGGGCGGCTCAGTGGGTTAGAGCCTTTGCCTTCGGCTCGGGTCATGATCTTAGGGTCCTGGGATCAAGTCCCACATTGGGTCTCTGCTCAGCGGGGAGCCTGCTTCCCCCCTCTCTCTGCCTACTTGTGATCTCTCTCTCTTTCTCTGTCAAATAAATAAATAAAAATCTTTTTAAAAATCTTGAAAAAAAATAAAAGGGCAGAAACAGAATGAAAATTCCATATCTGATTAAGGAGACTAACCAAAATGGGATTAAAAAAAATAAGTGAAGGAAAAAATTGGAAGTAAAAAATTGCGATGTTATAAAAAAAAAGAAATTTTTTTTTTAAGATTTTATTTATTTATTTGGCAGACGGAGATCACAAGTAGGCACAGAGGCAGGCAGAGAGAGAGGAGGAAGCAGGCTCCCCACTGAGCAGAGAGGCCAACGCGGGGCCTGATCCCAGGA